GCACCAGCACTCATCCACTCTTATAAAACCCAGCTTGGAATGGTCCTATAATATTATTGTTTCATTTTGTGTGGTGCAGGTTGAATTTGTTGGATAGGAAAGACCGGCAGTAGTCATTAGGCTAGGTAAATTGAACACATTTAACATAAGAATAACGATTAGAAATACAGAAAACTCTGGTCTCAGGTAAAGACATTTCTCTGAGTATATTTGCATTTAAAAATGCACTTGCAAAATAGAATCAGAAACTTATGTAATTACCTTTTATTCCAATCCTCCTGCAGCAGTAGTAGCAAAGGGCAGGTTATAGGGCATGGCCTGGTGTTCACAGAGTTCTGAAGCCAAAACTTTAAGCCTGTTTTTCTAAGTATCTGTCAACCTCCAAAAGCACCTGAGTTTATGACATGATGTTGAGTTTAGGATTATCTGTACACCGAGTTAAGTTCTTAAAATACATTATTACATAATAGTTTCTTGGGGCCCTTGCCTTACTCAGTTTACTACATGACTTTCCTCTGGGACAAAATCCAGACAATGTAGTGATGAAGGCTACGCTTTCTGGACACTCCTTTTTCCCATTATATCATTTGTTGCAAAAACTGGCAAGCGATAAAAGGCAAACTTGAAGAAAACAGAAGGTGTCACAATGAAAGTAAATGAAGATGGCTTTTTGCCATGGGGTTCTGCAGTGCCAGCCAGGCCATTTAAATCACACTTTTGACTATTTTTTAGCAACTGCATGTTCCTCGTCTTCCCATATGTGGTTTGAGATTGTAAGTTGTAATTTGAAGCAGAGCTAAAGAGTCAGCTTGTAGTTGATTTATGTGGATGCTTTACTTTGAGTGTCAGCACTACTAAACACTGAGTACTCTGAAATATCAGCTCCTGGGAACATCAGTCATAAATTAGTGCAGATAACAAAGACAGGCTACAAAAAGCCCCATTGTGTCATGGGAGTATTATGGAATAAATTCAGTACAGAGGCACAAGAAAATAAAGTGCATTAGGAAATCATTCTGATTTCAGAGCACACTTTTGTCTAAGTAACTTTGAGGCATTTGATTCCACAGTCTTAGTGTATAATTTCCTAGATTCTTCTCAAATCAAAGCCTGAACAGAACAGAACTCAATCACTACAACTCTGGCCTGTCACAAGTATCTACCATCATCCATGAGTCAAGACTCCTGAACAGTAGAAAGAAGAATGTGTTCTGACAGGTAAAACTCCCAAACACTCTTTTTGGATTTTGTTGACAATGCCCAGCACTTCCTATCTCTCCTATGCACACATAAGGCATTCTGTAATAGCAGCTCCTCTTTTTCCAGCAAGCCTCTTATATCAGTCCCACTGTCCTTGCTAAGTCACTCTTAGCTCTCTTCCTTTGCCTTCCCTCCAAAGTCACTGCTCTCCCAACAACTCCCAGGTGGAATATTATCCCAATTTCTTGCTCATGTATGTACAAGTTAGTTCATTCCTGCTTTGTCTTCAATGACCCTGCCCAATCTCCCTTCCTCTCAGGGTTTCTCCCAAGCAGCTTCCATCCTTGGCTTCAACATGTGAACTCTCTTCTGCATCCCTGTGGCCACCTGTCCTCCTTTTTGCCTACTGAAGTCCCTGCTTACAATCATTTCAGTCATCTTTCTCTCCAGACTCAGCTTCCCTCTATATTCTCTCCCTCTTCTTGCACCATCTCCACGACTCCCTCCCCTCTGTCATAGAGCTGCTTCCCATTCCTTCTCTCATTTTCCCCAGTTTCTAGGCCACACTACAACACAACAGAGACAACTTTCAAGAATATTTTTTTAAGGAATAAAGCAACATATTCTTCCCATAGCTTTCCTTTCAGAAATTACTCAATCACTTAGCTGCTATTTGTTAAAGTTTTCCACCTGGAGTTTTCCATCAGCAGTGAAAAAGTGCAACAAAAACTGTTAAAGCTTCTCAAAGTTATGAGCAACTGATACACAATTCCATACTAGGACATGCCATGGAGACTTAATAACACACAGTGCTATCTGCCTCACTTGGAATTGTACTTATAGACAGGTTTAGTGGTTTCATTTAGATTAAATAAATTAGCTCCATTAGCTTTAACTTTGCTTCAGTAAAAAATATTGACCTTGGTTAAATAGGAAAGGTGGTCAGCTCCAACTTCAACAGACTTTGCTAAAAATGCTTGTTAAAAATCCCACACTTACGCACATGGTAGCTATGAGCCACCTCCAAACAAGGAATAGAGCTTGCTTGCCAATATCATACTGTTGCTCTGCTATCAAATCCTTGTTAAAAAGCACACATTTAGTCATTTGACTCTAGCATGTCTAAAAGTTACATGATCTGACATTTCCAAAATGTGTCTTGGGTTTTCATTTTATCTATACACAATTCCTTTTTATCTTAACAATGAATCTTAGAATAATTGTTAGTAGTTTTAGGCATCCTGAGCTAGGCAAGAAAAGGAAGGTGTGTCTATAGACATAAAAATCCCAGGCCTTCATTAAACAAAGCCCATACATGAAGTGCAAAGATCTTTATACAATGCATAATGATAAAGTTTTAAGTACTTCCTTCCACAATCGTTGCTGAAAACTAAACAGACACATACACCCCCACACAGTGTCCTTAAAAACATGAACATTCTCCTTATATCCTATGTTCTTCCTTGAAAAAATATACATTACAGACATTAAAAGTTTCCTTATATTTCTCAGTAGTTTTGGTAGGCAAAACCTTTAAATTAAAAAAAAAAAAAAAAAGGCAACATAGACAAAACCAAATAGTTATGACTGCTTTAATTTATTCCTGAAGACTAAAAGACTAAAATAAACTTTGTGTTTAGCTCACTACATCAGCTAAGAGGAAAAAACCTCTCATCTTTCACTTAGTTTTTACTTGCTTGTCTTCGTGAAAGCTTAGAAATTACTGGTGCTGCTTTCATTTCAGATTTCCACAGGGAAGTCAGAAACAGTGCAAGTAAAATGCCAGGGACAATGAACTCATTTTATAAATAAAAGTGTGAGCATGTATAATATATAAGATACATGAGTTCAGATTTGGTCAGATAATGTTCTTACACCTGTTCATTCAGGCTTTGGACCAAAGCACTTGCAGAGCTAGCGAATGATATTTGAACAGAGCTGGATAAAAATAGATTTGTTCTTGTAACATTATCAAAAGGAGCTGACTTAAGAGATGACAACATCTGATGGGCAAATCATCTGAATTGGATGTTTCCTCATGTTTTAGGATTGGTTAGTATTACTCATTATGCATAAAATAGCTGACCTCTACTACAGGACATATTGTATTTATGGTCTGTAGCTTACTTCTTCAGTCCTATATCAAGTTTTTACCACAGTCCTATTTGTATTATACACCAAAACATTCATTGCAATTGTTTCATTTGCAAAGTAATCCATAAGTACAAAATAAGTTACTTTACAAAATTAGTGCAGAACTTGGGCAGACAGCAGCCTCTAAACTGTTTCCTCTTCTCTGAATGTCTTATATATCTTATGCATGCATCTATATGTGTAGTTAAGAATAGTACTCTTTTCATTATAGCAGCTTTTGCTTCATTTGATTGATAAAAAGGAATTGATAGAGTATTCACTGCATTTTAGCTCTTTATGTCTGCTTTGTGACCAAGGCTGCTGTCTGTGAGCCCACTTAGCTTTACCTGCATGGCTGAGAACAGTTCTCTCTCTGCAGAAACATCCACCAGTGAGTGACCCTGTCCAGCACCTTGCTGACGTGGTCATTCAGTCCAACAGTGTAGGTCAAACCCACTTTCTGCAGAGTGACCAAGGAAGATTAGCATTGGAAACAATTTAAAACGGTGCCATGGGGGATAAAAGCTCTGCATGTCTGCAGCAAGCAGGGAGGCAGGCGCTTTGCACGCTCATGTCCAAATGACAGTGAAGAAAGTACAGGTTGCCCTGCTGAGCCACTTTTAATTCATGCTTGAGCAACTTTCGTAGGCACTGGTGAAACTTAGTGACACACAGTAATAAGGCAATTGTGGCAACATGCCTCCTTTGCTCAAAACCCACGATGTTTTTTGTTGATTCAGAGTTTGCATTTTGTTCCAGCTCACTGCATGTGAAACTTGGAAACCTTGGCTGAATCCTCCAGTTTTGTCTGTACACAGAGCACAGTATCAGTTTAATTTGAACTCTTTATCAAGCCAGTAAAAGATCTGGTGGGCCATGTATGACTCAAGAATGACTTCTTTGCATTTGATACACTCTAGATTTCAATCAGCACAATCTTTGCCAAGCCCAGGGCTTCGGTTCTGAGGCAGAGATACAACATATTGCAGAAGAAAGCATTTGTAATTACAAATGTGTAATTTGTACAGTGTTTGGGGGGCACTTCTTCAGTTTCATGACACATTTCCTAATGTCATCATTTCTGTAGTCTGTACCGTCAGCGTTTTCCATTTGTTTCTGCTAAATTTTAAAATTTTGGCTATTTATAAGTCAGGCAGTGAAATAAGGCATTGTTTCAATGCTAAATGTTAACGGTTCTTCCGACTCATTTCCCTGCAGTTGGGACTAAAATTAAGCAGTTAATCACTCTACCCACAGCTTAGAAATACCTCTACAGAAATACATGCTCCCTCCTGAACCTCTACCACAACACCCTAATTAACTAGCTGGCATCGTAGCCACTGTTCCAGCTACCTATGAGATTGCAGCACAATAAGGAGTTTCTAGTAGTCAAAAGAAGTAGGAAACTAATATCACACCAGAGCAAGCATTAGAAATTCCCTCCTTCCCTAGAAACTTCCTTAGAAATTTTCCTCCTTCCCAAGGAGGAAAAAGTTATCTAAGAAGTGAAAAAAATACCAGGTTTGCCAGAGCCATGTAGTTAAAATAAGGTGTCTCTTCCAACATGGTGAGGATCATTCCTGTCAACTTCTTACTAAAAATACTGATGTTAAAAGAAATTTTACCTTTTGTGTGTACTGTAAGACAGAGGTGCTGCAAATACATACCCAGGAGGATACATCTGACAGAAATAACTCAGTTCTATATCCAGCACAGATACACCTCGAGGCCTTTTCCAAATCCTTGTCCATTTTCACATCTGTAAAATGAAGACAGAACTCAGTCTTCTTTGCCTTACATGGCTACAGAGATTAAACAGATATCAGAGTGCTTCACCTTCTACTGGTGTAATATAGCAATCAGGCTCTTCTCCTGGGGTTAGAAAAACTCTTAGAAGAGCCTGGGGCAAAACCAGGTGGAGCACCTGCAAAAACCTTTCACGCTGTACGTATCACTGGAGGCTCCTCCAGCAATGGGAGTAAGGTAATTACATATTCTCAGGTGCCTCCACTGTGGAGTTAAACTTAAGTGTCATGTGCTATCCTACCCCTACAATAAAAAGTAGGGGTAAAACTCGTTTTCCTTCTGTAAGAATAATAACCCCTGCCAGAGAGATCCCAAAGGTTTGCTTGATACAGATTAAGCATATATATATACATACATTATATATATATATATATATATGAAAAATACATTATTAAAAAAATATTTGGATAATTAAAATTCCTATCCTATGCAGTCAAGAAACAGGGGAGGAAAAATCTCTTGTATTGCTTTTGTTTTTGCCAAGCTGGTGATGAAAGTCATGTTTTAGATGTTCAGTTCATAGGAAGAGAGCACTCTGTACAGAAGCAGATTCACCTGGTAGATACCTCAAAATAGTTTGCAAAAGCAGGTAAATGATAAATATAGCAGCAATTTTAAAAATACAGCAACTGAGGAATGGAGTAGTTAAGGAACTCAATTCCTTTTCTTTTTCTGTAAGTCACTGGCAGACAAGCATGAAGCAAAGTTTCCCCAAATTCACTTCCAGACTAAGGTTAAACCAGCCAGCTGCAGGCATTTGCCATGGTGTGCATGAGTATGCATGTAAGTTCATGAAAGTTAGATGACTTGCATATAGCCACTCAGCCACCTAGTAACAGGACTTCAAAAAAGCACATATTTGCAATTCCATACCCTAATAGACCAGGACTGGTCAACAGATCAAGTGTCTACCATGTTGGAGTCCGCTTCTCTTTTAGACAGAAATGTTAGGGAAAGGTTTAGCAGACACTGTCAAGTATTTGTCCTTTGGCAAAAATAAAGAAATACCTTTTTTCTTCTTCTTTTCATATAAACTGTGGCAAAGATTTTTTTTTTGTGTTGCACTTACACTAAATTCCATACACAAACCAAAGGGATGAGACTCCTGGGATTTTAGATCCCAACCAATACAAACTAATGGAAACAATATGTGCTAGGAAATAGGGTGCAATTCTACATCACAAGGGGGCCTTCACTTATCTTTTAGCTCAGTGTGCACAGCAGCATTATCCTCTTCACACATTAAGAGGTGCTGCCTTTCACATAAAGAGCATTTCCTAAGTTTAATTTGAACTTTCACTACTCTTTTTAATGATAGAGCATTTAGGAGATGAGTGACTTGCTCTTTAGGAACTCAAGTGATCTTCTTGTTTCCGTGAATAACTTTAGAAGAAATGCCACTCTATTAGAGGCAATCTGAATGTGTGTAACACTTACTGTACATGAAAGTGTTTGTTGTACAACTGGATGGGCACCACACCAGCCAAACTCATCCATCAGGCTGTCAACACCTTACTCTTTTTCTGCAGTGACCTATGTGGAAAATTCTCTTACAAACAGCTGTTCAGATTGTAGGCAGACAACAGGTTGTCTTAAACCCCCTCTCAATTGTGTATAAATGTTTGTGAATTTCTAGTTTCATCTGCAAGATAAACATGAACACGATGTTCTTTTGATTTACATTTATTATTTGTTTTACATTTTCTATTTTCAGAAACTCTTCTGGACCTCCTAACTTCACTGCCAAAAAAAGACTTTTAGCTCACTGACCTTTTCTATCCAATGTTTTTGTTAGGATGTGAATCCTGCAGATGGAATTGAATTGTCTTTTCTACTTGTGCATTTTTTTCTAAAGGGTTCATCAGCGGATGTGAAAAATAGTTCAGAACCATGTGACAAAGGCTCAGCAACGGGTACTGTGAATGTAATGAAGACTTGAGTTTCACAAAACTGAATTACTATTCTGTTATGTAAAGCAATGTCTTTTCCAAAAGCACTGAAAATAAACATACTGAAAGTGCCAGAGTGACTTAGGACCCTACTCTTTTGGACCTTCAAGAAGACTTGGACCTTGGGCTACAGGCCAAATTAGTTATACATTCCCTAATTCCTTTGCATATAAATTACTTCTGAACAAATCTAGGCCTTGGGAGGTACCAAAAGAAATAACTGATTGACAGCTGTAGGTAGAATTTCCTGAATAAACCCTTAGATGGCCACATGTAGAATTCATCACACTGGATTATATATGTGAAGAAAAGAATAGTCCTGAGTTCATCAACAAAGACACTAATGATCTGGTTTTGATGTCACCTTCAGGATGAAATGCACACCTAGTTCATTGTGTGTACTCTAAAATGTTACCACTTCTCTTCCCTTAATTCAGAGGGAGCTCATTTCCAGATTATCAACCAACACTTGATGAGATAAATCCCCCTTTCAACTCAGTGTTGGAACTAGGATTTAAGCCTAAAACTTTATCTAAATCTTTTTGAGAATTCATCTGGTAATTTTTTTGCAAAAAATGTCTATGTCTCTAGCATAGACTCTTAAGACCATATATAGCCAACCTGGCATATTGGTAATTTTAATAACAGCAACACCTAAACATCATTCAGCAGTGTGTTCTTAGTTCTCCAAAAGCTTCACCAAAAGTATCATTTCCTCTTTATAAAGGTGAAAGCAGAGATGCAGACATATTCTTCATACTACCTATCACTAATATTCAGCTATCTAGGTGATAAATAAGAAATCCTCTTATTTCGATTACAGTGATTTACAGCAGTTTCTTAAGTTAGCCATATTTAATCACATTTTGGAAGAATATATTGCTTGTGCAGTTAACTGTGCATGCAGGGAGCCTTGAGAGACTACATTCGAGTTTGCAGAGCTCTAGGAGTCCTCTGATTGGATTAGATTGTATCACATACTAACATTTGACTGATGATCTGTATTAACTTTTTCCTCCTAATGCGACATTTGCTTTTCTGCCAAGAGACATCCTCTTCATTATTTTATTCATGCACCAAGATTATACAACATTCAGTAATTCATACTGCTTACTCTTCCTTACCATTTCAAGTGAGTCCCATGACTCTAGTCCAGTACACAGAACATTCTTTCACAAAACATGGGGGCTGGTTTCATTTGTTTATCCTTTCCTTCACACATTTCCAGAATGTCAACCCTGACATTCTGTATTTTTTAGTTCTTTGTGGTCTCAAAATTATGGGTTGCAAGCTTAGTCAGAGTTATTATTGAGGGTGAAGTTAATCAAATACAAATGTTTATAAACCAGAGTTTCAAACACTACAAGCAAAAAAATTTTCCACTTTTCTTCAGAGCTCATTTTTTTCCACATAAACACATTTCTATGGCTGGTTCTTGTGCCATCAAAAACTTTCTGACTCTTCTTGGTGCAAAGGTGTAGCAAATGCTAGTGGGAAGAAGGTTCAGCTCTGGGTGGCTTCAAGAAAGTAAAAATCTGCCTAAGTTCTATTCTCTCAGTGACATAAGGGATATAATAATAATCTTCAGGGAGTCTCTTTTGTTCTTGTCCATATTGATTACACAGAAAGCCCCTATCAAAAGGATTAATTTCAGTAGACACAATTTTGTGAATTCAATTAGAAAAGGTACAGTTTCAGCATGAACTGATGTTCATATCATTAAAAAATCAGTCTCATGAAGGGGATGAAGGCAATGCAACCAGAGAGGTCAAACCAGCTACTCATCTTATATGGGAGCCACAGAGATGAAACTAGGGGAATAGTGAAGAAATTCAATAGATATACCAGAATAATAGGCACTGCTTGTATCAATTAATAACCACCCTCAGTTTTGTCACTATCCTGTTCAAAAAGTCCTACAGGATATAAATTCCCCAATGTTCTAGTCTAAGGGATACAAAGAACAAGTATACTTCCACCATAAGAAAAGTTAATTTTTAAAAAAGTAAATTTCTCAATTCCTGTTCAAACAAAAGAAGATCAACTTCTGGCTGCTTCTGCAACTGTTTTGCTGCTCAAAATGGCTGCAAGTGCAATATATGGCTTGGTGTATGTATATAATAGATATATATATATATATATATGTATATATATATATTCAACCTGTTTAAAGGCCTAGAAAACCTCAGTATACAATATCACATTAAAATGAGTTTAAAATTTCAGTCACCAGCAGCTTCATATTTGTATACTTTGTGCTCATAGAATTGGCCAACATGTGGATATTCCTTTCAAGATCACCCAGAACACTTCACTCACACTAAAAAATGGTAATTTTTTTCATGTTTAGAATAATACACTTTCTGTTAAAATCATAAAAAGAGGAAACCTTCCAAATCACAATGCCCTTTCAAAACTCAACTTTTAAACTTTCCAAATTACAATATTAAATATGCTAAAATTCCATTATTTTGCTTTTTAAATGGGAAAATCTTTAAGCATAGGACCTAAAAATTATTACCTTCATGCCTCCTAAAACTGCATTTTGGTACAGTTTTGCTATTCACAAAAATGACCACAGCCTATATGTAAAGAATGACTATACTATTAGGAAATGTTAAAAATTATGCTTCTATTAAAAACTGATAATGAGTTAAGTGATTGTGCAGTGAATCTTCAACAAAGTTTTTCTAATCAGGACTTATATAGCTTTAGTAAAATAAAAGTATAATACAAGCATAGGAATCAATTAAATTATAGCAAGGGATAGTGTAGGAGAACCCATAAACTTGAAATTATTTTTGTTCTTTGTGAGAAAGAAGTTTATGGGAACATCCTCCAGCTTTGTTGTCAAGGAGTTTGGATTGCTTTGCAACACAATGTGTACAATACTGGGGGTTTTGGTGCACTGCTGATATCCCTTATAAAAATGCAGCCCCTGTGCTCAAGCTATGGGAAAGTATTATAATAGTATATATATACCAGTATTAATACCGGTGTCAGT